GTGAAGAATGGGGGAGAAACAGGCTCTGAAGAATGAGCTTGAGCCAAGTAAAAGGGCAAAAGACAAAGGTAAAAGAACACCCCAGAGAGAGCCGGGTGGGCTATCATGAGGAAAAACATGGATAGCAAGCTCTCCACGACCTGTCTTTCCTCTATGCTGCCCAAATCTCAAGGGAACCCTTAAGAACTTCTACAAGCAGGTCCTGAGAGGTGGTGCTGGGGTTCCTCTGCCTCAGGCCGGTGTCAGGTCTAGGCCATCCTATTAAGAACCTGCTCAAGTTCTCACAAGAAGTCCATGTAAAAGACTTGGGGAACTGTTCTGCGCATGTGTCTGCGATCTTGTGATTGACAGGTCATGCCTACTTCCCCAGCCAGTTTTGCCAGCCCTAATCTCCTAACTTACTTTCAAACTCTTCTTGTGTGGAATACTGTTTTCCATACTTTAATTTTTAGAACTAAGTATTTTTGAATATTTTGAACGTGTTTTGGATTAAATGTGTATCACTACATTTTGTTTTGGGGCCCAGTTTGTTAACGTGTGTCTTTTGATTGAGGAGTTGATACCATTTACCTTGAGTTATTACTGAAAGGTATAGACTTATTCCTATAGACTTATTCCTTTTTCCTATTGTTGACTCCTTTATTTTTCTCTTTTGCTTAACTGCCTACCCTTTTCATGTTTTTATTCCATTCATTAGATTTTGGCATTACTGGCTTCATTACCGCTGTCTCAGATATCCTTGACAGGGTTTTTGGAGTAGTAGTCTGGCAGTCATGAATTTCTTATGATGTTCTTTGTCATGGAAAGCTCACAACTCCCCACCCATTTTGAAAGGTAATTTTGCAGGATATATTAGTCTGGGTTAACAGTTGTTCACTTTTAGGGCTTGAAACATTTCAACTTCTTCTAGCCTTTAACACATTCACAACTTGTATGTCTCAGTGCTGTAAGTCTCTGAACCACCCAGGCTGGTAGAAATGTGTTACGGTTTTTGTTGAGACATCTGTAATTCTAATGGTTTTTCCGTTAGAAGTGATTTGTTTGTTTATTTGTTTGCTTTTCTAACAGATTGTTAAAGATTCTGTCTTTGTGTTAGACTTCTGAAGTTTTGATTATCATGTGCCCTGGAGAAGTTCTTTCCTGATTGCAACTATTTAGGGTTCTATATTCCTTGCTTATTACATGTGTGTTAAATTCTTTTCCTATTTTTGGAAAGTGTTCTGCTATCATTTCTGCAAACAAATTTTGATGCCATTTGTGCTGTCTTCCTTTTAAAATTCTAATTAATCTTAGATTAGTCTTACTTGTGTCATCTATTCACTGTTAGATCCATTTTCCTTGCTTTTTTGTTTTCTTATGAAGTGCCTCAGAGCAAATGGTTATATGTATCAGTCTTACCTTCTAGTTCTGAGACTCTTTTCTCTCACTGGTCACTTCTACTGCCCATACTTTCCACACAAATTCTTAATCTCTAGTATTTCTATTAGGCACTTTTTATGTTCCATAATTCTTTGGTAAATCAGTCATTCATGTTTTGAACCATTTGGATTAGCTCTGCTAGATTCTTATTAGTATCTTCTTTAAGCTTACTTCCCATTTTATTCATTGATTCTGTTATGTAGTTATACCCTTTTTGAGCTTGATGAAGGTTTTTTTGCGATTTTCTTTTATCATTTTATATAATTTTGCTGTTTCTTTGCTTCTTCTACATTGATGCTCCCATGAATTTGCTTTGGGGGAATTGGGAGTTTGAAGAAGCATCTTCTTGCCTTGTGTTTTTATGTTTCTAGTGTGTGTGTGTGTGTGTGTGTGTTTGTGTTTGTGTAATGCTGGGGATAAATTATAAGGAAAGATGGATAAATTATAAGGAAAGACTGTTGCAAGCTTGTATGGTAATCTTTTTTTTTTTTTTTTTGAGACAGGGTCTCACTATATAGTTCAGACTGGCTTTAAACTCACTTATGTAGCGCAAGCTGGCCTCAGACATATGGCAATCCTCCTGTCTGAGCCTCCCAAGTGTTGGGATTACAGGCATGTGCCACCATGCCCAGCTGGAAATCTTTTTAGTTAGTGTCTGCATTCCAGTGATATGATCTTTTTTTTTTTTTTTTTTTGGTTTTTCTCCGGTACCGGGAACCGAACTCACAACCTTGTGCTTGCCAGGCAGGCACTTTTGCCGCTGAGCTAAATCCCCAGCCCCCCAGTGATATGATCTTTGCTTTGCTTGCTTTTTGGTATTTACCAACCTCTTCTACTTACTCAGCATAATGGGACAAGACCCATTCACTGTTTTGAAAGGAGACAATTCCTACTGCTTATAATACTATCAGCAGCTCCAAGTATAAATCAGTATATTAATGTATATTAATATTTGTTTTAACAATTTTACACTTTCATGAATATCTCTTACAGATTTCATTATACTGTTATTAAGAGTTAGACTTGAATGTGGAAGGAGGAGATAGAGGAAAAGGAAGGCAGTAAGTCAGAAAAGAGAGAGAGACAAGAAAAATCAATAGGTGGAAAACAGACAGGAGATCAGACCCTGTTGGATTCATTTTTAGAGCTTGCATAAAAAGTTAGTGTTGAGACGATTTGCTAGAATATTCACAGGAGCAGAAGGAGGCATGCAAAGGGAAGGAAATGTATTTAGAAATTGGAGGAAGCTGTAGGATTGTGGGACCTGCTAAATTTTTGATAGACAATTTATGTTTGGCTCATTTCTGCACAGTTTCAGTGAGGGTTACCCTGACATGCCCAGGAGCAGTACTATCCAAATTTAAGCACTAATAAATTATTATTCTCTTTTGCACATAGACACTTACTCTACATACAAGATAAAAGGAAGAAAAGAAGGGAGACAGGACAAAGGGATACGAAAGTAGAAGACAGGAGAACCAGAAAAAAGCAAAAAGAGAGAAAGAGGAAGGAAAAATGAAAAAATTAAAAAGAAACAATAAGAAGAGCAAAACTGCAGCCACCTGCAAAAGCACAAAGTCAAAGCATCCTCCTAGTCCCACTCGCATTTCAGTCTTAGTTCAGTTACAAGCCTCCAAGCTAGTCCCACCCTTCTGTGATTTGCTTAACTGCCTGCCTGTGAGCAAGCAACCTGGTGGGCCTGGGCCCCCTTCCTGGCTGCAATCGGTGCTCTGGGCCTGGCTACCTGTAGGCTTTGTCTCTTTCCCAAGATCAGTTAACTGGAGGAGGGAGGGGGCGGGTAAGTGGCCCAGTACCTGATTCTCCCCCAGCTTTCACCAGCTCTCTCTTGCTCCCCACTTCCTTCCCTATGGGAGAAATTCTGTGGTTGTCTCTGCACGTTCCCACCAGAAGTCTTCCACACAGCATGGCCCAAGAGACCCTCTATCATTTTTCATTTCCTCTCCCCAAAGTGTCACCTTCCCTCATGAATGGGTAAAGCTTCAGACGCCTGTGATTTCAGCATTCCCTGACAGGGGCTGTTGGGGGTTCCCCTATGGGCACCGGCCAGCAGGTGTGGGCAGTGTGCAAGAGGTCCGTAAGCACAATATCCCAGTGTACGGGGAAGAAATGGCGGAGTAATTATTCCTGAGTCCATCTGCCCTTTTCCCCAGAGTTGTACCACTCCCAGAGTCTGCTTCTTTCTACACCCTCCACCCTTGCTTTCTTACTACTTGGACTTAGGTCTCTAATCAGAGCAGCCCAGTTGTTTTTGAATTCCCAAGGGTCCGCAGGTGCCGGAGTCCTTGAGTACACTGTTCTCCAGCTTTCAGTGTTTCTGATGTCCTGCTTTGTGAGTGTCTCGCTGGCCATGTTTCCCTTTCCAGTGGAGTGGAGGAGTGATTTCAAGCCTAGCCCATTTGCCAAGCGGCTGCTAAAATGCTGGCTTCCTCCCTCAGAGAGCCTGAGCCTGTCCCAAGATGTGATGTATGTTGCATCTGGTGTGTAAAAGATGCCTCAAGCCTGGGGCAGTTGACTTCCCTTTCTTCCCATTACCCTGGTGCTGGTTTTTGATCCTGAGCTTTTCTTTCTGATTACGTCCCAAATCTGTTTTCCTCTACTCTCCTTGCCCCAGCATAGCTGCTGTGCTCTTGTACACAGATCAGAGTCTTTGTCCTTCCCTGCCACCATCCAAGCCCTTCTTATTATTTCGAGACAAGGTCTCACTAAATTGCTAACTTGTCCAGGCTGAGCTCAAACTTGTGATGCTCCTACCTGTCTTCCAGAATGCTGGGGTTAAGGCATAGAGCACGCCCAGCTAAAGATAAAGGCAACGAATCTGGAGAGCAAGGCTCTGTTGAAATCAGTTGCGCATACCCACATAAAAGTTGTACCCAAGTAACAGTGTATCTTTTCCTAAACTGTTAGATCCTTTGAAAATTATTTACTGTTTTGATGGATCCTTGATAAGTGAAAATGATGGGTCAAGCAGTGCAAATAGCAAAATGGCAAAGAAGGAGAAACTAGGTGCTGGCATACTAGATAACCACATACTAGATAACCACTAGGCAGGATGATCAGATCACTTATAATTGAAAGTTGATGGCAGGCAAAGCCAAAGTCAGCCATTAGTTCATTATTTCAAATCTTCGTTCATTCAAGAAAAACATTGGATTGCCTGGGTTTTTTTGGGGGGGACATATGTGAGAGATACTGTGTTTTTTGGATGCCATCTACTAATGTCATACCCACAGGTGCAGTCAGCTCACTCTCCAGCTACCACAGATGCTACCTAACTCATCTTCACATGTAGCCTGTGCTGTCCAATCAGTAACCGCGAGCCATATGTGGCTATTCACATGCCATTTAAAGAACTGAAATTCAATTACATTAAAATTCAGTTTGTCACAGTAGACTGTTCTTAAATGCTCCTTAGCCATTTGTTTAGGGTTGCTACCATGTTAGATAGGTCAGTTGCAGAGCATTTTTATAACTGCAGAATATCATTTTTTTTTGAAAGCTCTGTAAGCCTTCTAGTCTGCTGTAAATATCACCATTAAACTAGCATTTTCACACATAGCTTTATCATATCACTCAAAACTTCCCATGGGTGTCTTTCTGCGGTAAGGACAGTATTTTTCAACTTTTAATGTGCATTTAAATTACCTGGGGACATTGTTTAAATGCTGTCTCTGACTCGTAGAACTATGGTGGTCCGAGAATTTTGCATTTCTACTAAGGCTTAACTGCAGATGACTGTAACCCTAATCAAATTCTGAGAAATACTGTCATAATGTAAGTCTTATCTACATAACTAATTTTGGTACTCACAAAACAAAGACATCATCTCATTGATATTCAACTATTCCTGGCAATTTGACTTATTGCAAAACAGAATATAAACAGGCTATTCATATCTGAAAATGGGTAGAGTTGAATACTTTTACTCTGATGACAAATTGAAACTCCTTGAGGGAGATTTTTAAAATCAAACATAGAGACATTATCCTTAGGAATTCTAATTTAATTGATTGGGTAATAAACATCACGGTGTTTTGTTCTGTTTCTGTTTGGTTTAGTTTTGCAAAGGTCTATATTAGTTTCCTGGGCTGCCATAACAAAGTATCTCAAGCTTGTTGCCTAGAAATAACAGGAGTATATTGTGTCACAATTGTAAATGTTGAACATCTAAAGTCGTGGTTTTGGTAAATTTCTATTTGCTCTAAAGTTTCTGGGGAAGACTGTCTCATGTTTTTTCCTTAGCTCCTGATGGTTTTTAGCAGTCCTTACCATTCCCTTGTCTAAACCTGCCTTACTGCAGTTTATGCCTCCTTTGTCACATGAATTTCTTCACATCTTGAGATATCTGTGTGTCAAAATCCCATTGTCGTTGTAAAGACTGCAGTCATTGGATATAGGAGCCATCATGATCTCATATTAGCCTGATTATATCTGCAGTGTGCATTTCCAAACAATAGCATGTTCACAGGTATCTTCTAGGGTTAGCACTTTGACATATCTTTTTTGAGAAAGTAATTTAACTCTTACACTCCCCAAGTGATTCTATTGCGCAGCTAGCCTTTAGAAATTATGATCTACACGTCTGGGTTAGAAATGTGAGTTTGCATCACTTCCACTGGAGGTCTTGATCACATATAGGTTCCCGGATCTTGCTGTAAGATTCCGTGGGTTTGGCCTGAGAATAAGAATTTGCATTTTTATAACAGGCTTGGGAACCACTAATTTAGGGAAAAGAGAAACAAAATGAGTTCTGTCTCTTATACCGTGCAGAAGTGGCATCAGCATCAACTGAGCACTTGGTTAAAGTACAGACTGAGAATTAGAAGACACTTTTCAGCAAGATTTCCAGGGAATTTGAGCATTCATCCAATTATTAGAAGCACTTTTTTGTACTAAAATAAAATTGTTCTTAAATAGCTGATTAAATAAGTTACTGAGGAAATGACTGAGTGAAAGAGTAAATGAATGAGCAGTGAAGCAGATTCCCTAGTGGTGTATCTTCCAGAAAGCAGAAAGTGGACCTTTCAGATCTTTTGGCCAAGAAGTTGACTTAGCAATTGTGAAGAAAGCAGCTTGTCAGAGTGCCTGAAAAGTCTCTGCCTGCTGATTCTTCATGGCCAAATGTTCTCTATATGATTGCCTGTTCCAATCTCTAATCAAGAAATTTCATACTTTTTCTTGCTGTGAAGCTCCCAGATCATCCTGTATTAACGCTTTGTGGCTGTGCTAGCCGAACTCTTTCACTGTGGCAAACCTTGAAACAGGAGGCAAGCTGGAATCCAGAGAGGATCACCGCACACTGGAGACTTAATGAAGCGCTGGCTTTTGGCCAAAAACGTAGCAGGTAAGTTTCAGAGTCGACGCTGAAAAAGAAAGAACATCTCTGAGAAAGCTTAGAGCCAAGTCAAAACATGCCATATATAATTTTCTTTTGGCAGTTATACTGTAAAGTAAGAGGAGAGCAAATTCCCCAGGGAATAGTAATTGATCTATAAATGTCATTATTTATAGATTTTGTTTCTGAAGCCATTGCTCTAGAGCTAAAGTGATCATGTGAGTCTCAGAAAGGAATTTAGAATTAGGCTTTGAAAGTCTTGTCTCTCTACTATTACTAATTTCAAGTTTCATTTAGGAAAGCTACTCTTTTTTCTTCCAGTTTTCTCTTTGAAAAACTGTCACATACTCAAGTAACCACAAATAGTTGTTTTCCAGAGGGTCAGTTTTTAAAAAACTGATTCTGGAAGTGCCGTTTGCCATCATTTCTTCATAGAACCATTCTGAACCACATGGAATCATTTTATGGAAAGACTGACAGAGTTCACATTGCTAGTTTTATTAACCTGTCCATTTGAGGAAGAGTTAACATTATATTTTAATTAAATCAGTATTGTTTTGAGAGGCATGCTGTGATTTGAATGTTTTTTTCCCCTCTACAATGCATGTTGAAATTTCATCGCCATATTAAGGGGTAGGACCTTTAGGAGGAGGTTGTGCTCTAAAGGATGGGATTAGGAACTTTATGAAAGGAATTGAAAGAAAAACTTCAGCTCCTTTTTGGCCCTCAATCTTTACCTTCTTCTGTATGAGGGTGTAATGTCTGTCCCATCCAGAGAATGCAAAAACAAGGAACCGTCTTGGAAGCAGATAGCAGCTGGAAGGCAAATCTACCAAGGCCTTGGACTTGGACGTCTCAGCATCTAGAACTGTGAGAGATATTTAGATTGTTTATGGCTTACCCCATCGGTGGTATTTTATTTTAGCAGCACAGAAGGGTGAAGGCAGGCATAGTTGGATTTTAGGGAGCAGTGATTTTAGGGAACAGTGATGACTGTATCCCACTGCACGACTTGGTGAAGAGTCATTTAATGTTTCACTGGCGCCTCTTCCTCATCTATAAAATAGGACTAACAGAATTTTCTCTCTCCTAGATGTCTACTAGATTGAAAAAGAACACAGCTTTTGCTAAAAAAAAAAAAAAAAACCTCCCATGTCTCATCTATGTAATATAGATATATTCCTGTAAACACCATTTTATTTTACTTCATTTCTGTATGAACTTACAAATAAGTTTTTGCATTCCAGATGCTCAATGAGGCAAATACCCATAAGCTTTTATTTTTCCAGAATCAGCCAGTTGCCTTCATTAGGAAAGTTTTAGAATAAAGAACAAAATAAAAATAAAATCAAATGAAACAAAGATTTCTCTTTTTTTACAGCCAATGAAGAAAGTGTCTTACCCAAACCCAGCATAGAAAACCCTCCTTCTCCCTTTCACATTCTTTGCTGGTAAACTGCTGAATCACTGTGTGTGGCAGCCAAGTTAACACTCTGTGAGGCTCGGCTCACCGAGGACTGTCAGGGACACACAATGTCCCTCTGCTATTTCTAGATAAGAGCAACAGAAGAGCAGCCCAATGCCGCACTCGGAACAGCTCCCCATGAGCATGCCTTCCCACCCGCCCCCAGAAAGCCGGCAGAGACTGCGTTTGTTTATGTACACCACGGAGTATACAATTTGGGCAAAATGTATAGGCCTTGACAAATCGTGTGGTGAGGCTAAGTTGAAGCATGATAACATGGACACGGCCTTGTCCACCAGTGCAGAGAAGAACACATCAACCTGAGGAAATGACTAAGAAAGGAGTGAATGAGGGCACAGTGGAACAGATCCTCAGTGGTTTATCTTGAGACGTTCTCAAAGTTATAGTTCAAGACTACTGTGAGGAAAATTTTAACAATTAAGATTTTCCTTATCTTGATTTAAGCATAAACCACAGACTGCAGATTAACTCTAGTTTCCTTAGTTCTTACTGAAAATGGAAGCAACATTGTTAGCAGTATGAACATGTCACTTTAACATGACCTTTTTTTTGTCTTTTTGAGACAGGGTCTCGCTATGCAGTTCAGGCTGGCCTTGAGCGCACTTTGTAGCCCAGGCTGGTCTCGAACGCACAATGATCCTCCTGTCTCAGCCTCCTGAGTGCTGGGATTACAGGCTTGCACCACCACGCTTGGCAACATGACCTTTTAAAAGTCTTGTACAACCCATTCTTATTCATTAGAATTAGACGTTACAATACAGTTTGGGTTTATAAATACTTGAGGAGTTGTAGATTGTTTTGCAGACCAAGAGTTTTTGCTCTTCCAAGGGAGGAACCAGTTAAGCCTGACAGAGCCTGCCTTGGTCGGGTTGAATACTTTATTAACAATGTGATTCTAAGCATGCTAGGCAAACTTTTTGAGCATCAGTTTCTTCCACTGTAATAAATGAATAAAGTATTTACACTATCTATAGAGTTACGAGGTTGAAATAATATGAAACATAATAATATAAATAATAGGTGTCATGGTGTGTGACAGACAGGAAATGTTTGGGGATTTTAGGGGCAGTACAAAGTATAAGGATTTGTCCAGTTTCCTTACTTACAGTAAAGTGCTATCTAATTGAATGCTTTTCCCTTTAAGGGTCAAGAGAAGGGTTTGTTAGAGATATAGGATGCACTGAAGAGCAGAGTGTGGGTGCTCAGAGAAGTGGGACACACGAGGAAGGAGCTGGGATCATTTATGTGTTTTGTGTGGTGGAAATCTGCGGAATTTGGTAATCTATAGTTTTAGTCTTGTCTAGTGGGTAGGAGAGGATGTGCTACCCACAGTGAGGTAATGGTCTGTTCATAGGGGAAATCCTAATCCATTTGTTCACTGGCACAGGTCTCCATTTGGCTTGATCTTAAACACTCAACAAGAATGGGGCTGGGGATTTAGCTCAGTGACAAAGTGCCTGCCTGGCAAGCGCAAGGTCATGAGTTCGGTTCCTGGTACCGGAGAAAAACAAAAAAAACCAAAAAACAAAAAGACAAAAAAAAACAAGAAAGTGTAACCAAGAAAGTGTAACCAAAATTATATAATATAATATGTAATAATATAATATATAGTATAATTGTATAATATAATATATATATTTGAGTACTTTTAAATGCTTCCTAGCTGTGTGTTAAAGTCTCTTAATGATGCAGAAATTGTACTGAAGTATTTTCTTTGTCACAGTGGGTTTTAATCTCACCTATTTAAGGCTACAGTATTGTTTTTCCTTTTAGTTGTTGTTTATTACTAATTCTTTTACACGGTCAGTCACAATCTTTATACTGTTTTGCCAATCTTTCTTAATGTTACAATGCTTAGGGATGTGACTGCTTGTAAAAACTTCTAGAAGAAAGTAGCATTTCCAGTGGAGCTATTCTTTTATTAACCTAAGTTTTGACAATGCATATTTTTGGTTTGTTTATTTATTTATTTAATGAGATAAGGTCTCACTACACAGTTCAGGCTGGCCTTGAACTCACTGTGTAGCTGATGCTGGCCTCAAATTCATGGTTATTTTCCGCCTCAGCCTCCCAAGTGCTGGGGTTACAGGACTGCACCATCCCACCTGGTAGAAAATGCATTTTTAAAGATGGGTGGCAATAGAGCATTATAAGAAAATTTTCACAGTATGGAAATTATTAGGAAAATTTCCTGCATTACTTAGGGGGAAAAACAGCTTCTTCTTAAATTATATGAAGACTCCAATTTAAAATGGTCCTTTGAATATCCACTTTAGTTATGACAATAAAAAAATTCCTGATCTTGGGGAGACAGTGCATATATTAGAACAATCATATTATGTGTTCTCACTAACCTGTTGAAAGGAGGCAAATCTCAAGATGTTACTGCTGATTTATTTAGTTTATACGTTAAATTGCTTGGAATGTCTGGTGGTCAATGTAGGTAATAGTCATGCATTGTGAAAACTGATTAAGTTTATAACTTTGTTTTTTTGTTTGTTTGTTTGTTTTTTGTTTTTTTTTCCGGACTGGGAATCAAACTCACAACCTTGCGCTTGCCAGGCAGGTGCTGTGCTGCTGAGCTAAATCCCCAGCCCCAAGTTTATAACTTTGAAAATGATTACATTCTTTATTTTTCTTCTAAATCTATATTATACAAACATTGTTATTTGGTATCTATACTCTAGGAAAGAGTGAAAATTTATTACTGTCACTATATTAACTATTATACTCAAGAATAGAAGATATGATAAAAAAGATTTTTTCATTATAGAATTTGAGATCATTTGTTGAGTTAAAAACAACTTTTCATATCTAGGAATATATTCAGAAAAAAGTAATCTTGTCCCTGATTCTAGCTATATCCATAATGATTTTCAGGATAGTGTGATAGATACAGCAGAAATGTACATAATAGGAAAGTGGTTAGATATTAGAGTCTTCAATAGATGAAATATTACTGTATCATAAATATGTTACACAAAGATCTTTTTTTTTTTTTTTTTGGTTTTTCTCTGGTACCGGGAACCGAACTTACAACCTTGCGCTTGCCAGGTAGGCGCTTTTGCCACTGAGCTAAATCCCCAGCCCCTAAAGGTGTTTAATATAATGGAACACTTCATATTTTAGGAGGAAAAGTAGCCTCTAAAATAGCATAAATAGTATAGAACTTCCAAGGATTTAACTATTTCAATCAATACATAGATAAAAATACACACGTTGAAGTAGCGTAAGAATTAATTTGTAAGTAAAATTATATTGAGTTGGAACTGAGAGTACTTTTATGAATATTCATGTGTAAAAATTATCTTTAAAGCACCTATAAGGCATTTGAAAATAAAGATCGTGTGAAAACAGCTGGATAAGCATGGCATGAGAGTTTCAATCTAGACACATTTTTATTTTTGGTTTTCACTAGTCTTTGAAATTTTTCAAAGCGATGAAAAAGTTGCCATCCCTAAGGCTTTGCTGTTTATTCTTCATTAATACCCTTCAATTCCCTTTAAAATACAAACATTTTCCCTAGAAAATAGTCTAGGCTCTTGAGTTGTTTTATTAGTTTTTTCTTTGAATTAATGCTGTAAGTTTGCATCTCTGCACAGATTTAGCTGTATTCCACAGTTTTGCTTGTATTTTTTAAACAGGTTGAGATATGGTTTACAAATCATCCAATTCACCCATTTAAAGTGTACCATACGATGCTGCTTACTATGCTCACCAAACTGTACAGCCATCACTACAGTAAGGTTTAGGACAGCTTCGTCACCCAGGAAACAAACTCCACAGCCATTTGTAGTTGCTCCCCCTTCCCCTCTGCCCCTTTCCTCATCCTTTCTACCCCACCCTTGGCCCCAGGCACTGACTCACCTCTTTGCCCATCTAGACATTTAAAAATATTCCTCCTGTCCAGCAACGTACTTTTTGAATTCTCCTCCTCTCTCCTCACACTGACGGGCTTTGTAACTACTATTTTACCGTCTAATTTCATGAAATCATGTTTTACATTCCAGATGTGAGTGAAAATGAACTCTGTAGGACGTCGGTTATTTTAAAGTGGTTGCCATTTGATTTATGACCACGGTGGCACCTATACTGACGAGAGGGCCAGGAACAAGTCTGTTGTTTAGTGCTATGCTTTCTTATTATTATTTTTATCACTATTCAATATTCTTCTTTTTCTTTAGTAATTTTCATGGTTCTATTTTGTTTGATGTTAATGTAGGCTGTATTTCAATTTTTATTGTTATTATGAAATATTTATATTTTAGCTTTAACCTACTTATCCTTATATTTGATCTGAGTTCTTATAAATGTTGCATAGATGAGTAAGATCTTTTCCTAATCTGCCACTTTGTGCTTCATAATATTTCAGTCAATTTATA